TAGTGAGAGCAAAGTTGATTGTGTTTTACAGCTTGTGTATTTCTCTGTTTATTGCTTGTATTCTGTCATTAAGCGAACAGGTTCCTAATATAGCAAATCTCTCTAATCACTAAAGCAAGAGAGAAAAGAACCAGAGCACATTAATTATGACTGTTTGGCTGTAGCCTGGACAGTCTGTTGCTATCAGATTGGGCAGCTTCTTCTGGTTTTATTTCCTGGAGTTAAGGCAGAGAGGGGAACGGCTTTTCTCCTGCATGGAGGGGAACAGAGACAAGTTCCATGCCCTGCTGGCTGACAGCTGCCTAAAAATCTGAGATTAAACACTGGCTTTGCCACAGAAATGGAGTCCTGGGGCCGTAAAGGCCAGGCTCTGCAAGGGTACACTTTTTAGTCTCCAATTCCATAAACAGACAGGGCATGCTGCTCACACCCTGTGCTGTCCCCAAAGTCCTGCAGAGCCTACAGTGGGCAGAAGCATGTGGGAACTCCAGTGCCAGCTATGAAAAATGTATATGCCGTGTGTTCTGTACTGGAGTGCTGCTGGCACCAAGACTGGCTTTGCAAATGCCAAGACAGGGGGTAAAAGGCAGATAGGCCACTCTGACTCCAGGTACCAGAGGTTAACAGCATCTAATGCATTTATTAACCCTCTGGTACCAGAGACTGGGGAGGTCTGGCTGCCTAATCACAGAGCCCTAGAAATTCTATTATGTGACATGCCTGGACTTGCTAATTGCTACCAGGGACAATTTTGTAACAGCTGCTGGAGGGACAAAGCTTATGGAGACTCTAAAGGGCAAGTTTCTGTGTGTTTTCTAAAACGCAGGCAAGTCCTTTGCCGCATGCTTTTGCCCTTTTTATTCCTAGAGATAAAGCTCAAAACATTGTGTCTTGGTGGTGACATTTCAAACAAAGTAAAGTCGGGAGGCTTTGCCCAAACCACAGGACCAGAAATTAACTGATAGGAAACACTTTCATAAAAGACATCAAATAATTCATTTTTTTCAACCTACTGTAATAATGGTTCAAATTAACTGTTAGAAGAACAGAATAGACTTTTCCTTCTCTTCCTCCCTTAAGCCAGAGACTTCTAGGGTCAGTGTCCATGTAGGTGTGGGCTGCCAGAGCTCTAGGTCAAGTGTCTGGCCACAGGGGCTCTCACACCTGTGCCAGCATACCTTTATGGAGCCCTTGGCTTTTTAAGTTTCTGCTTTGGTGATGACAGCTGATTTTCCACTTTGGGGCTTAGTTTACTCTCTACGGAGTCTTTCAGTGTGTGTGTGTGTGTGTGTGTGTGTGTGTGTGTGTGTGTGTGTGTGTGTGTGTGTGTGTGTGTGTGTGTGTGTCTGTGTGTGTGTGTCTTTTAATTCCATCACAGTTTTCAGCAAGTGAAACAAGACTTGAAATGTGTAAGTACTTGGCAACTATACAACAATAGTTGAAGTGTGTATGTGTGTGGGGTGGGGGTTGCCCTGTAATTTTACGTTTGAATTTATCACACCTGACTACCAAGACTGGTTGTTTAATGATGTTTCCAAAAACAGAATAAGAATCTTTAAAACCAGAAATAACAGGTTTCTGCAGTGGGCTTTAAGACACAGATTTTCTTAAGGCCATTCCGGGTCTGCAGTGGTCTGTTTCTGATCATCAGTGGTCATTGGGATTCGTGCCATGTTCAAGACTCCTGAGCATGCTGCTAGCCACTGTACACATGTATGAGCCCAGTTCTGCCCCTCTGCCTGCTGGTCACATGTGTTATGGGTACCAGACAAAGCTTGGTCTGTAGTTTATTCCAGGATAGGCATGAACCCTTTGTCCTGCATCTCATCAGGTAAGAAGAGACTTAAACCCGTCTCATACCTGTGTGCCATCCTTTGATTATATCCTCCAGCTATCACCTGCCTTCATCTTCTTATTAGTGGCACAGACCTCACAGTGTCCCCTGCTAGGTTTGGGTAGCTCCTGCAAGACTACTGTGTTTACCTTACTCTGCCATCATGGTGACATCTCCAGTACCAGATGGCTCTGCAGGAAGCTTGCTAAGTGCTTCCTGGAAGCAGGGTTTAGCGACCTGCCATGGCCTGTGGACAGCCAAGCTCAGCTCTGAGAGCTGATGAGATGGGGAAGCCTCTCTGGGTTAGGCAGCACACACTCACCTGGATTCAGCATTCTGTGTGGTTACACCCACTAGGATGGGCCTACAGGTTAGCTCCGGGAAGTCCCATCTTAGCCACTTCATCATAGGAACACTCTCCTAAGTATAGTGGTATCTCTCTCACACAAATAAAGCCTGTCTGGGGGGTCACAGAATGGAGTTTGCCACTAGCTAACTGTAGAGGTCTGGAGGTCTGTACAGACAGTCAGGAAGTGACATAGCTGGGCAGTAATAGGAAATTGCTCTAATCTCTGTGGAGATGCTTAGGAGGTAAGGTGTGCTGTGGCTTGCTCCTGTCTGATCTCTCAGCATTTCCCTGTATCTCTGACTCTGGCCTTTTATTATATAGACCAATTAAGAACTCATTTTACATATTGGCACCCAAAGTAGCCAGAACATTAAAGGCAGGACGGGGCAAATTGTCCTGTGAGGGTCCCAGTCCGGCTCTGAGAAGGCCGCCAGCTGCCCAATTAAGAATTCCTTTTACACCTAAGGCTGTCCAAGGTTCCAAAATGGCAGGCTCATAGGTGCTAGTCAGGTGAGGGGGGGAGCCCTCATTCAAGGGCTGCTTTGCTGTGGCCAGGCTACAGAAACAGTCTGCAGTCACACTGCATCACAGTCCAGAGGCCCTGTTGTTTTCCCAAACCATTCGGTAAATGGATTAGCTCTGCAGAGTCCTTCAGTGCAGATCTTGGTCTTTTGTACCTTATGGCCTAGTAAAGAAAAGGCAGAGTGGGATGTTTTAGGGCCATTTGGGTGTCTGGGCACAATTCCAAACTTGACGTTCTACACATTAGTCTCTGTAGGTAGTAGAGCAGTGGCTCAGACTTGCCATTATTGTAGATTAAAACTAGGCTTTTGAGTAAGTTCAATTCCGCTTCCAATTTCCCCTCTGATCTTCTTATACATAACATTTAGTGACCTTTGAACAGCCCGGGGATGCTTCAGAGTGTCTTGTTCTTGAAGCCTGCTTAAAGGTTCCTATTTCATATTCACGGCTGGCATATGCAAATATAGGTAAAGATTATGATGCCTTCCCAGTAGCATTATGGTCAACAAATTATTCCTTGGGTGAGCATGCTGTCGCTTTAGCCTACTGTGTCTTCCTCGAGTCACAGAGACTCGGAGCATACAGGCAGCCTTCTGGCTGCATGTCCTCAGAGCCGGGGGTAGCTCAGGTATTAATTGGTTCAAAGATGATGACTGTTTATCAGCATTTGCCTTCTTGACAGACAAGCTCTTCCTTGGTGTCAGAGGGCTGCTGTTCTTAGGGCTGAGGGTGGCTACTGTGGGAAGAGTTCCTTGTGTGGATTTGGGGAAGACACAGACTGAAGCAAGTCTGTGATCCAGGAAGGAACATATTTCCATAGAACTGAAGGGTACCGGTGGCATTCTGGCTCTATAAGCATATTGCCATGTGATCAGCCATTTGATTGCTCTGGGTTTAAATTGTTTATGTTTCTAAAAAGAGTGTTGTACTGAGTGAGTAGTTTTCAAGGTCTGTTCCTTGCAATTGTCTGAAATACCCGTTCCACTGAATCCTCAAGCCCAAGCCCAGTGGAGGAGTTGGTTCAGTTAAGGGGGAAAGAGAGGTCACAGCCTTCCCCGCTCAGCCCCTCAGCAGCCACCTTGGAGCAGTTTTTGAATTTCTGTATTGATGTCTGTCTTGACTACTGCAATGTCGCTGTAAAGAGACAGGATGACCAAAGCAACATATGAAGGGAGGCATTTAATTGAGGTCTTGCTTATAATTTCAGAAAGTTGGTCCATGACCATCATGGCAGGGAGCATGGTGGCCAGTGGGAGGGCTGGTGGGGACTGGAGCAGTAACTGAAAGTTTTATATCCTGATCCAGACAGAGAGAGAGAGACAGACAGAGAGAGAGAGAGAGAGAGAGAGAGAGAGAGAGAGAGAGAGAGAGAGAGAAAGGAGAGAGAGAGAGATTGAGATTGGTCTGGCATGGCCTTTTGAACCTCAGACCCCACCCCCACTGACACACCTCCTCATCCTTCCTAAGCAGTTCACCAACAGGGAACCAAACATATGAGCCTGTTGGGCTGCCCATTGAGGCCACCACAGGGTTTGTAGTGCTAAGTGATTCCTGCAGGGCATGCATCTGAGAGGCCCTTCAGGGGTGCCTTAACCCCCAACCGAGGAATAGTTTGCCAGGAAACAGGGAGCCCCATGAGCTCAGAGAGCCCTGAGCTCAAGAACTGAACCCTTTCACCACCAACACCAGCCCTGCCTCCCCAACACCGGGAACCGATGAGAGCTTCTTACCATTTGCTGACTGAGGTGCCGGAAAATAAGCAGAGCAACAAGCTTCCAGGAGACTTTGTTACTAATATGTGGGTGTGCCTTTTGTGATGCTTTAAACTAAAAGCACTTTCCCCAAATTAGCACCCGGGAAGATAAATATGTCACCACTTGAAAGCTCTCTCCTGTACCCTGGTCCTGCCTGTGCCATCCCTGCAGCACGCCCTGGTGACAGGTAGCTACTGATCTCTGAAATAGGGCAGCCCTGAACAGAGACACACAGGGTCAGACACTGGATTTTGAAGACCTGGGAAGAAAGAGTGCTGAATCTCTCATTAATTTTTTGTATTGATTCCATGTTCAAATGATAATACAGTTGGTTAAATAAAATATATAATTAAAATTAACCTCACCTGCTACCTCTTTATTAGACAGCCACTAGAATGCTGTAAATTACAGATGGGGCTCACAGTTGTGGCTCCTATATTTATCATCTGGCCCTGCCCTAGACTGTTGATTAATGGATCATAATTAATTACTCTTCCCTGTTTGGTCTGAGTGTTTTTTTTCTCCCTTTGTCTCCCTCTAGGCACAGAAGCTGAAATCCAATGTGTCGGGCAGTACCCATCTCTGCCTTGCTGATGTAAGTGACATTTCTTTTTTGTGTTTCTTTGCCTTTATAGGGACCTAGACTTCTGCACTGGGTATATAATATAATAATGTTTAGAGACCAATAAGGTCTTGGATCCAGAAAAGAGCTCGTCAGCCTCTGTATTGGCCTGCAAGATGCAGAATTAAGATCTGGTGCAAAGTTAGAACTAAACGTACAACTTGTGATCTTTACCAGAAGTCCAGCCTTAGCACTAAGTCCCTTGTTCCATGCCAGGAGACGCCAAGGTCAGTTACCTGACGTCATTCTGTGTGCTGGCTCAAGGATCCCAACCTGCAGCTCCTCTGACCTCTCCACAGCCCACTGGGAGGTGGAGGTAGCCCCAGACCCTCTACAATTGACAAAGAGGAGATAGGTGTGCTCTGTGTCAACTTGCTCTGCCATGAGGGGGTGTGGCATCTTAGCTCTGGGCAGCTGGGATGGTGCAATGGGGTATTCACCGTAGGGAAGGATAGCTGTGCTGGTCAGGAAGTACATGGGGTTCTGGCTTGAGCTCCCACACTGAGGAGTGAGACCCTGTGGGAGTCCTCTGTGAGGTTAGCGAGGGATTTGGGGGGGGGGAGGTCTCAGCAACTGTCTGTTCTTGACATTCATTGTGATCCATGTGCCTCCCATGAACTATACATTCCCGAAAGATTCTTCCTGCCTTCTTTGCCTGGTGGAGAGAGTCAGCAAGAAGCCCCTCCCCAGTGAGGAGGCCATAGAAAGAGACACAAAGGCAGCTGTCCCCAGGCCTAAGTAGTGAATGAAGAAGCAGCACATGTGACCCAAGGGGCCCACACCTTACCTAAGTTCACGGTTCAGTCTCATAAAACTAAAAGTTAGCCAGTTGAATCTCAGTGGTTAAATCTCAAGTCAGCTTTTTGTGGGAGAGTCTCCCATTAGGGAGAGGGGAAGGTAGGGTAGAGAGTGTGGGTGAAATACAACATGATGGTGGTGGGGGGGTAGGGAGTGTGGTATAATATGACATGATGGGGTGGGTACGTGCTGTGGATGATAATGACAGCGTTCTTTCTTACAGCATGATTTTGGAAAAGATGGTCTTGCTGGTGCCTCCAACCACATAACCCCAAGATCAATGGCTGCTCCTCCCAGTTGCGGTCTGAGCTCACTGCCGGTGCTGGTGGCCACCACTCTGGCCACCCTATTTTCTGTATCCTTGGCAGAAACATCGTAGCTGCATTCAGCTCACTGCCGGTGCTGGTGGCCACCACTCTGGCCACCCTATTTTCTGTATCCTTGGCAGAAACATCGTAGCTGCATTCAGAAAATATGGAAAAAGAAAAGAGAGAGAGAGAGAGAGAGAGAGAGAAAAGCAAAACAAACAAACAAACAAAAAAACCAAGTAACCTGTTTCCTGTCCTCTTGTATATCTGAAAATGCAGTTTTAAAAGCTCGGTTGAGAAACAGTTTCATCCAACGGTAACGCTTCTGTTGTTTTTAAGGAAGCTTCTTGTGACCCTGAGGAGCTTCTGTGAAAGAACTGCCCCAGGGCTGATTCCAGACTCAGAAGGCTCTGCAGCATGGTGACTGACTGACTGTAAAGCCAGCTGAGGCTCTGCAGCATGGTGACTGACTGTAAAGCCAGCTGAGGCTGTGTGTTTTGGTGGTGATGGGTTACGGTGGTGGTGATGATGGTGGTGATTTTAACAGCTCAAACTCTGTTCTCTCTACTGGCTAGAGCAAGGGATGCTATCATTGGTGAAGATTCTTCCATATCTTATTTAATGGCTTTGAATTCTGATGTCATGGCTGCAACATACTCTGGATGACAAATGAAGGTTGGGCTCAAGAGTGGACTTTGTGGACTCCATCTCGTACTAACGTTGTCCTTTCTATGTACGTTTCCCACTGCGTGTTTGTGTACCACCGACAATTCTGTGACCCTTAGCAAAGCAGAAAGCCCTGGTCACATCCAGATGTAGACACCTGTCATTCAGTCCAGTAGCTAGCAGGCCCTCACACAGCGCCTGGATTGTTGACTGACACTCTTCCTGAGTCTTGCCTGAGTGAGAAGCCCCTAAACTAACAAGAGGCAGATATAGCCTAAGCCCACTCTTAATGCTTTTTACATTTACGAAACCACGTGCAGAAAAGGTGTTAACTTTACTATTCAGTGATTCCAGCTGTTGGCTTTCTACATTTTGAAAGCAACGATAATGTCCTCATTTTTTATGATGGTTTAATACGGATATCTGCTGTGTGTTTCCCTCTCATAATAAGTACTAGCTCCAGTTAGTACTAGCTTCTCTCCTACGGTTCTCAAAAGCAGACCCCATGCTTTAACAGAAAGCTGCATCATACTGTCATGGACAGGCAGGAGAAAACAGAACAGCCAGCAACTCCTTGTCTTTATCTGTCTTGAAAAACAAGGCTATCTAATGCAAGGGACGGGCCGATCCTTGTCAAGGGTGCCACAGCTTGATGGCATGGCTGACAGTTGACACAGTCCCAATACCTTGGCTTTCATGTTATCTGACAAAGGCAACATTGATTGGGACTGGGCACAAGGGACAAGTTGGAGATGCTCCGCCCTCTCTTTCAAAGTTGATCCCTGCCAGGGTACATGGGAGTGTCTTCTTTGCTCCTGACTCCAGTGTCATGGACACCATTTAGAGCAGTTTGGTTTCAAGGTCACCAAGCACCTCCTGTGTAGTGTTCTATGGCCTTTATTGCAGATTGTGCCCCTGTAGAAAGGAATGGCGGTTTGTGGGTCCCTGGGGCTAACATGGGGCTCTGGAAAGGTGAATTGTCTGGTAAAGGAACACAGAACAGGATAGGACTCTCTGGATGAGACATCTGGCTTATATAGCAACACACCTTCTCCTGGAATCCTCTTCCTCACCTGAGCAGACCCTTAGGTGTTTATCTCAAGTCTGGGTCAGGTCATAGTCTGCCAATGATTGCAGACTGGCAACCATGTTTCCCTCAAAGTGAGTAAAAGAAAGTCTTCCCTCCATGGAGCCCTGGAAGGATGATTTTGCTCCCCACCCCCAGAAAGACAGAGGGGGGAGCCCTGATGGACTTACTCTACTGAAACCTGCCCCCTGTGCTCTGAGGTTGGCCTCGGACATATAGCAGTTCACCTGGGAAAGGGAGGAAATCTATGAAAGCCAAGAGATAGACCTGGTTTCCAGCTCTTTTGGTGTTTGAAGTACATTTACATCCAAATGCTAATGAATACCAATGTAAAATACTCACTAGCAACGTCTTTTCATGTCAGAATGTTTTCAGGGGAAATGCATCCAACATCCAGTGTACCTTACCAGTGGGAAGTTCCATGAAGATTCATGCATACAGTGAATAAACACCTTGAATGTGTCAGAACATTCAGAATGGCAGTCATGTGTGAGAGCGTATCTCTTACAGAGCCTATTTTGTTTTCATTAAGGTATCTCCATGTATCTACCCTGGGCTAATTGCACATGGGTCTGATTGGATGTGATCCACCTTAGGAAGCTATTGATTACCCCTGAAGTATACTGCAGCTCTAATTAGCTTCAAAGGACCATAGAGGAAACAGGAGCCCTGTGCTAACAAGGGCAGCCTTCAGCAGAGAACTCATAGATATGCAACATGCAAATGAAACTTTGAAAAGCTGTGTCACCATCAAAAATCTCATTTTTCTTTCAGAAATAAAAGCATTATCAGAGTACCAAATCCTCAATTTGAAAACAAGTTGCTGATTAGATACGCAGTAGGCAGGGCCTCATTTAGGGACAACACAGTAGGGGGACTGTTGGAAAAACCAGCCTGAGTAAGTGGTCCTGTCATTCGTGATATCAGCTTGATGTTGGCAAAGTGATTTGTCTCAAGACTGGAGCAGGGAAACATGGCTGTCTTTTACTCACCCGACTTCCTCCTCCTGGAGCCGCTGACAAACAAGAGCAGTTTGCTACTTTCTGTCTGTTACCCCTTTGCACAGACACAGGTTTGGTCTGCTGGGGATGGGTTCCTTGCAGAAAGTTCCTCATGGAAGTTGATTTTGCCATCATAGCAGGTAGGTGGTGTCCACACAGCGATTCAGAATCTGGCCCTGCCCTACCTTCGAAGAGAGACAGACGGTGACAGCCACGTTGATTAGAAGCACATTCATTGAGTTTGACCCTGGATGCCCCTGATCAGATCGTCTTAAAGAGCACAGGAGGGCAGATGTACACGACAGAGAGGTGATTCAGCATGGAATGTTGCCTGATTTTCCCATAGGATTTTTTTTTAACCTCTAATAGAAAAAAGTAGACATTGAAAATTGCATAGGTTATTTTTCATCAAGTAAAGAAAACTTTATCTAGATGTAATTGTAGGCTGGTAGAAACCTTTGTTTCCAAGGCAATCCCATATCTTGTAGCTAAGCAGAAATGTCTTAGAAGTTATAGCTTCAAGTTCATCCCAATACAACACAGGAACTCTCCAGAGTCCTAAGCTGAAAGTTTGGGTTGGTAAAGGGTGGTCTCTGTCTTGCCTGTGCTCTGCCAATGGATCATTCCCAGCTACACTACATTTCCCATGAGCCTCCTTGTTTGTAAGTCAGGCACTCCCAAGCATCCTATCTGCTAAGTCAGAGAAATGAATGAGAGAGGGTGGAAGTTAAATCAGCATATAGTTAGGAAAAGAGATGTAAAAGCAGTGGGGGTTTATTTAATTAGCAATTATTTTCTTAGAACCCAACATAAATGTACTTCAGTTTTTGCTTACAAAATAGTGGACTCAGAGGAGCAATCATTGGGAAGGTGTTCTTATTCACATAGTCAGACGTGCACGAAGTCATCAAAGTGTGGACCAGAGAACGGTTGCTTAACCAAGCTCACATCCTGCCTTTTGAATGCCGCTGCTCTTGGTCTCCACCAGTCACCCCTGCAGTCTCTGCTGTCCTTGCTTGTTCTTTTTGCCTGAGCTGATGAGACCATGGGAGACCTAACTTTGTAAGAAAGGGTACAACAGTGGCAACAGATGGAAGTGAATTACCATGGCCTGGGCACCATGGCACCAGGAGGCCCCTCTGCCCTGAGCTCATAGGGTTTGGAGAAATGAAGCAAAATCGAGGTACATCAGGAAGCCAGTGAGATGGCCAGTGGATTGCTCACTTTGCTGAGGTCCTTCACCAAGTGTTCTTCTGATAGAATAGCCAGTGTCCTGAAATAGTGGGGGTGTCCTTTGTAGAAAAAAAGCTAGAATTAAAGTCTGGGTGACCGAGGGAGGACTTTGCTCTTAGAGACCCCAAAGTAAAAAGCTAGGGGGTGTGGCCAGGTAACCCTAGGAGTTACATTCCTCTCTTCTCCTTCAAGTCTGTATCTGACACGTGTTGACTTTGACGAGGTCCTTCTTATCAAGCAAGTTTAAATCTGGTTTCTAGGATTCTTCATGAAGAATTGTTACCTAGGAATAACAGTCTCACTGCAGAGTTTTCCACTGCCTCTGCGCTGGCACACACTCTGTAGGATGCTCACTTCCCCAGGACAGGGGTGTTAAGCTGTGGTTGGTTTTGTCACTGGGAACCGTTGGCTGTTGAAGCCTAGGAACATCATAGAGTCCCTTCCCACGCATTCTCCACCCAAGTCACTCCAAGTTCAGTGCTGCCAACATCTAGACACATGACAAGGAATTATAACAGGACACGGAGTAAGAAAGATGTTGGTTATGTATTGTGGGAAATTACACCAAAAACCCAGGTTAGTCTCTGCAGCCTTTCGAGACCCAACAGGAACCAACCCAAAAGAGAGTGTGTGCCCTCTCTCTCAGCCCTTTATTCTACATGCCTTCTAAGTAGCTGTGACCACGCCCATTTGGGTGGTTCCGGTCCATAGCCACATCCCATCAGATGCTCACTTTGTGACATGTCTCCGTAGCCAGATGATGCAAGTACCAAGTGAGGAATGCACTCCCTACCCCAGTTGAGAGCCCTCTGTTTCACTTTGGGTACCCTGCCCTCTAGGCCCTCATGGGAATCCCTTTGCTATTGGGGGGGGGGGTGCAGCTCTCTGATGGTCCATACTTTTTCCCAGAAGCATCTCAGAGTGCCTGTTCATCTGGATGCACCACCTGCATTTCTGATGAGTTCTGAGACCCAGCCCAGGGGGTGGGCAAGGCACACAGACCCCATTCCAATAAACTGCCTGCAGAGTGCTCCAGCCTGCAGATAGTCATCAAGGCCTCAGAGCCCCGCGAGGTCTGTCTCCG